ACATACATACATATGTAATATCCTGCAAACCGCAATATGAATGAAGTTTTAATAGTTGTCTCCGCGGTGACACATTAAAGAGCCAAAACCAAAAACCAGACAGATAACAGATAGCAAGAAGAAAAACCAAAAAAATGAGAATAACAAAGGGAAAACTATAGCCAAGGTGTGTGCGGGTTCGTGGGGGGGTGGGGCATGTGGCAAACAATGGAGCGACGAATAATGAATCGCACGATGCAAAGATACAGCTAGGCAAACGGAAAATCTCTCATATTTTACGACACTGGTGAACCCTGCCACAGCCACATTCACACAACACTCACATCTGGTGGGGATTGCAGTTTAATGGGGGATCCAGATTCTGGGGATGCCTGCCGCCTGCTTAAGAGACCATCAAATGGGGCAGACTAGTTCTGGTGTAGATAGAGTGGAAAGTTGACATTGAATTAATTTTTTTTTTTATTAAAAATTAAAAATCATCTTTACTTCTAATTTTTATTGGATAAAATAATAAAAATAAGAATTAAAAATTATTTATAATAAATAAATCGTAAATAGAAATTTTTTTCGAATATATGTACATATGTAGCTTATTATAACTGAAATATCAATTACAGTATATTCCATGTTACCGTAACTTTTTTCCTTCACATTGATTTATTTATTTTAAAATTTATTTAGTTTTAAAATTTATTTTTATTTTAAAATTTATTTAATTTTAAAATTTATTTTATTTAAAAATTTTTTTTATTTTTAAATTTATTTTATTTTAAAATTAGCATTCATAACTGTTATTTGCGGTCCCTGGATTTTTATTTTCATCATTTATAAATATAGAACAAGTCCCAAGATTAACTTAAATCATAGCACAACAATTGGAGAATTTACGAGAATTTCCAAGCGAAAAAGTTTCATTGTTTCAGAAATTGTTTCAAATATATCCTCAAAGGTTGTTGAGTTGAGTTCCTCCAACTAAATCAGGTGCCGTATGCAAATATTGTACTCAAAACCAATTGATGCAATATTTATATATGTAACATTTATATAACATTAATTTTGCATTAGCTACAAAAATTAAAGCGGCTGCAAATTAAATATAGAAAAATCTGCAACTGGCTGGTGAAGTAGATTGCTGTACTACTGGCTTTCTGCTAATTTCTGCAGACACAACCCTTGCATCAAATCGATTTAGTTAATCGCTGCAATGCATCCCTGTTGCATATGTACGTAACTTCGCTTTCCTGTTTCCGGTCTGATTGCTTCTAGAACGTGTTCGTCATTCGATATCAAAATGCTTTTAAATCTTCCACTTGAGATCATGGACATTGTGTTCGGGTACCTGCCGGAGCAAGACAAACTGAATGTGGCCCAAGTCAACGAAGAGCTGGGCCGTGCATTTCTCTTCCACGCTCGAGGAAAATATGAGAAATTCAACTGCATTTATTATGAAGACGAATCTATTCTACGAGCTATTTTATTATTTTGCGGACACTCAGTATTAGAACTAAAAATTTTTTGGGATTTACCGGGTCCACTTTGGAAGCTCATAGCAAAGCAGTGCACAAATCTAGAGTCTGTCACCATTAATACCCCCCACACCCCGCACGAGAACTCCGAATATGTGCTGGCCATAAAAAGTCTGAAAAATATTAAAATTTATCCCCATTAATCCGGACTGTGAACATATTTAATATAACAGGGTAAGAACTTAACCAATAAAACAAAACAAAAAACAATTTGATTTAAATATGTTTTCTATTTTGACAGCACATCAAAATTTTAAAACTAACCAAACTCAGAACCTCAGAACTCAAGAACCAAACAATAACCAAGTTATTACACATATGCAAGAAAATTTTTGAATTTCCAGAATTGGAGCACCTGGGGAACTTCATTCTTTCCCAAACTGGCCCAAGCTTAAATACTTTGAGACTGCAAAAACATATACCTGAATATATAGTTAGAATAAACCTTAAAAAATGTACAACTGTTCCAAATATCATTAGGGCCCCAAATACACAAGTGACAAATCGACTTGGCACAAAATTCCGATGACAGAGGACCGCCATACATATTGTTAAATATATACTGTATGTTCACAAGGCTTACGTATATGAGTTTTTTTTTTATCCTAATCAGGTAGAGCTCTGCTCCACTCACTCTTTGCGGAAAGTAATAACCGGAAATATTGCATATCGGGAACACAAAAAAGAAAGAAAGACATAAAAAAACTGTTGTAGTGCCTTTTATCGCCTGGCAAACTTTCGAAAGTTTACGTCTCCCTTCCTGCCTCGTTCCCCGCTCCACCGAGCTACGCGGAGCAACATCTCACGTAATTTTCCACAAGCATAAAAGTTCCCGACTTCCTTCCGAAAATCAGTTGCGAGGAATGGAGCGAGTGGGTCTGCCACAAAAGCCCCCCCCTGCATATTGTATTTATATTTTGTGATTTTAATGCGGCATTTTGTGGCTGCCTCGGAGCTGGCTCCTCTCTAAATATACTCGTAAGTAGGTGTATGCCCCCGACATTAGCAACAACATTTTTATGACATAATTTTTGTTGTTCACCAGGAACAACAAAAAGTACATACACCTAAAAAAGGTACGCCCCACCGTCCAACCTGGCCCAACCTTTAAACAAAGATAATCTGCATATGTAGTCGGAGGATTTACCGACCCGAAACCGCTCCGACATCGATGACCCGGCAGGCAGGCGGGCAGGCAGGAGACTGGATTCTGTTTTTTTGGGTGGCAGCAGTGTAGTAGGCGGGCGGCCCCACCTTGGACTTGTATTACTCATCTCGGGTGCCTGCCTGGCTCATTCCGGGCCATAAAACCGAGCGAGCGTTGGGCGTGTGCGTCGCTCCCACAGTCTCTGAATTGTAATTACAAGCATGTAACCTAATGACACGGTGCTGCCGCCTTTGCAACATCTCCCCGTCTCTCTTTGGTCCTTGGTCCTTGGCACATGCACAACACAGCAACCTTCTTGCCTGCCTTTGTCATTATTTTTTGTGGCTTAAGTGAAAAATGTTTTACAACTAAAAACTTACATACAAATATGAATACGACCTGATTTCAGAAGGTATGCAAAGAGATTATTACCACCTATTTCACATTTCATTCTATATTTTTTTATATATACCAAAATTTAGTTTTAGCTCTCAATCCAAATATATAGCAATAAAGAAAAGTTTACATATACAAAAAAAGAAATCATTAAATATGGTAGAAAACTTAAACTTTGGGTCGCTATATCTCCAGGTAAAACCATTCCATTCACACGAATATAAAATCCTGTAAAAGGTGGCACAGTTAACTTGTCAACCCTTTCTTATTTTGGATATCCACGCGGCGAATTTCGAGTAATAATTATGAGAGTGCACAAAGTCTACACAGCAAGGTTTTTTATATATTAAAAAAAAAAATACATTTTTAGGCAAGCCAATTTACGAAGCAATAATATATATTATTAAGAATATCAGCAGAAAAATCTTTAAAAATAGAATCTAAATAAAACTAAAAAAAAATAAAGATTATCTGAGATTAATAAAGACCACGAAGACGACTGGCAATAATAAACGCATCATTATACGCATACACACACACTCGCACATACAGCCTCATTAACGGCATGCCCACACCCACACACCCATAGTACATGGCACTGTGGGCACCAAAAAACGCGTCTCAGCAGCATCGCCAATTGCAGGTGTAATATTTCAATGTGCGTGAGGTTTACCCCCACCACCACCCCCGTAGAAGCGCCATTCCGGCAGAATTTATATTTGCGCTTAGCTTAGTGGGAGCCGCTGCCGCCGCGCTGCAATACTCGTAAATAGAAGAGCACGGGAGAGACAGGAGTCGAGTTATGTGCCGAGCCTAGGCTCGTTCTAGTGCCTAGACCCTGTGGTAGGGGGCACTCTGGTGTCTTGTGGGTGTATTATCTTTAGAATTTATTACCTACAAATGTTATTTCTGGAACGTTAGACACACTTGCAGCAGCAGCAGCAGCAGCAGCCACAGCAGCAACAGCAGCCGCACCCGCTGCTCGTTGGAGGCTGGGTTGAAAGTCAAGTTTTATGCGGAGCTGCCTGGGCGGTAGGTCTGCCTCATCAACGCGTTCATTAGGCGCCAAGTAGCATTGGACCCCTCCTCCTGGCCACCCCAACCCACCATCATGCGGAAAACCAAAGTGAAGCTCTAAAAAATGCAAAAAGCAAGCGAAGAAGGTGGTTGAGCTATGTATATGTTCGGTTTGGGGGTGGAAGCAAAAACAAGGCTAAAAGGAAAAGCAAAAACATCATTAAATTTATGAGAGACTTTGGCCCGGGCATAATACGAAAAGCAACAAAGCAGCTTACTTATTTGGGGGCTCAGGGGGTATTGATATAGGAGTCGAAAACTTTGCCATAATTATCCCAGGTGAGTCTTTGGCCAAACTAAGCGTTCGAGTGGCTTTTTGGGCCAAACTTAACAGCCACTTTTTTACCCATAAAAGTTTCATTTTTTGGCAAGCCGTGATATGGCTAGGATACAACATTTTATCCAATTTATCCCTCCAATAAAATCAGTTGAAACCCAAACCCAAACCCAGACCCAGACCTATGACTTCACTTTCGTTTAATATTCATATTTAAATTTTAATTTAATTAATAAGGTTCACTTTTGATCAAATTTGACTGTTGTTATATAAATAAAATATATTAAAATATAAGAAAAGTTTTTTTTCGACTTTTTCTGACTTTATTAATGTCAAAATGTTCCGCAAATATTTCTCAGACGGTAAGCTAAAGCTACATGGTAATTATTTAAGTAGCGAATTTTATGTAACACCTGCGCTAACCCAAATTAAACATAATAAATTATAAATAAAACCATGAAGTCTATGACAAAACCTGCTGGACGTTGCTCCCACCCTAAATAATAAATGTATGTGCATAGAAAATTCAGTGTTTGAGTATTTACCGTCATAAAGTATTTTACCAGCGTTGAACCACATCTGCGGTGGATTTGTGTAACGTTTTTGAGGCCAGAAATACAACGGTCGCTTGCTTTACAGTAGCTTGACCTACCCAAACATTTACCATCTTAGGAATTTCGATTGAACACATGTCTTACCCCGAATAGAACCCTAACAGCAGACCCTTGCTCTGACCAAACGTACTTGACTGCCGTTATGCCACATCTGCGGGGGATCAGTTGAAGGCGGTACCTGACTCTGGATTAACTTGACCAAACATAAAGGCATTTTGCTACCGCGTAACCTCTTCTGCGGTGGATTAGCACTAATTAGTTGTATGCCTGTGTGTAGCAGGTAGCCGTACCTGAGCAAATTATACTTCAACGGCTATTCAATACAAAAAAAAATTTAAAAAACTCAAGGAATTATTTATATTCCTTGCTGATGGAATTTAACTATAGAATAATGCTTTCTAATGCACCTAGTTCACAGATGTGATTTAACACTGATAAACATAAATAAAGGGATTGAAATCCAAAGAGCATTCTAACTATTTTCTATACATGGCAGAGATACGTAATAGATATATGTAATTATTTATATGCACTCCAAAATAAGAGCCATTCTGTAAATTAGATGCTCGTCATAATTTTTATACACAAACTTAATTTGTGGAATGTTATGGACATGCGTTTTATTGGGTTTTTAAGTTATTTTAATTAAATGGATCGGAGCGGAGCATGTTTGTAATTAGTAATTAGTATTGATTAAGTAACTTCTTCAGAGGTTTTTGTTTGACTATTGTTTTTTGTTGATGCACCAGAAATGATTTGCTTGACAGACTCGGGAACAATTATGCAGAATTTCTGCAGTTGCACTTGAGCAGATTCTCGAATCCTTCGACTGTAGCAGGGGGCACAGCAGTCCAGCAGCTAATGAAAAGAAGTTTACATATATTGCATGGATCTCTATTAAATTATTTATATTTCCCTTAACACTTACCAAGTCTGAAATTAATTTGGAGTTTAATTGTTGGCAAGTTTGTTTGTTTTGTTGGATGATTTGATTTTATGGTTGTTGTGTCGAGTTCAGCTCGCTACTGCTAATTCATTTTGCCGAATAAAATTGCCTGCGTGATGCTCTTGAGGACGTAATTATCCTGCATACCAGCCCATGTGGCAGTGAGAAGCGTGGCCAAGTACATCAACAGCAGATTGTCAACGACTGCTCCCATCCAAGCGAAGCCGAGCAGCAGCGAACTCATCATGATGACGAGCATTGCCGACTTGCGCTCCATAAACAGATACTTATCCATTGCGTTCCAAATTGTCTTGATGCTGTAGATCTGCCCGCAAACACTCTCATATTTGGCCTCGTGGTCTTCGTCCCAAATGACGCTACTCAAAAGCAGGCGTGAAATCGTGGGCAACAAATAGTCAATGATGATAATCAGCCATGCGAGCAGAGATATCATTGTTATGACCGATAGAGCCAAGTACCACAACATAAAATATATGACGCTTATGCCGCCAAATACCAGCACGCAATAGTAATTTTTCTCCCACGTGAGCACACGATATGCACTCACTATGGCCCCCTTCCAAGGCTCCAAATCACGCTTGAGAATCTCCACATTTAGGTGCTGATCGATCTGCAATGCTGTCATCTTTGGTTCCTTTTTTTAAACGCAATTTCTGTCGTCAATGTAAAGCAAAAAGTCAACTCTTTTCTACGTGCCAGGCCAACGCTTGTGCTGTCAATGTATGTGTGCATAAAATCAGAGGTGTCAAAAGGATACTATCGATAATGTCGATAATTTTGTACCATCGGTTCCAGTACCTACAATATTTATTTATTAACAAAATTCCCTGATTATATTCTGTACAAATTTAAAAATTCAGTGCGACTACGAATTCTTAATCAAATCGAAATAAGCTTTCGAAATCCCCATTATATTGAATATACATACATATAAATAAAAGCGAAAACAATTTTGTTTCATTCCCATAGATATATGTATATTTATATTTTGTCGTTTAAAAATTTTAATTTTGTATACTTAAATGTCTCGTACTTAATAAACCGAGGCATATTTAATTCGTGTAGCTGCATATAACAGGCACTGGGGACTTCTATGGTTTCGGGATTAATCAAATTGTTCTCCAACCGCGTAACCAAATGTCGTACAGAATTTTGAAGACGCGACAATAACCGCAAACCGCTGAATTATAATGAATCCTTTATGTATATCTATTCTATGACAGAGAAACGTTGCGATTCGTATCAAAATAAACAAGCTCTTTGAACACCTGTCGACAACAGCACGTTGCAAGCATCTTTGTGCTTAGGGAACAAGGCTATAATTATTTTAGCTGCTATTATTAAGCATTTATACTAAAAACAAACAATCGAAATTAAATGGAACTGCAAACTTTTAATTTTCCTGTTTCCGCTCTCAAACAGACCAAAAAACAGCCTTTGGCTGAGTTGGAACAGTGGAAATGAAACGATTGTGGCACTCGATATGCTGTTGACAGTCGGAAATGCTATCTGAACACACGCCTTCCTTCCGTTATTTGGACATTTTGATTGGGCGGGTAAACAACGTGTGTGTGTCCTCTCTTTTGTTTACTTGCAAAATTAAAAGCTCACCAAAAATGGCGACTGAAGATAATGGCAACGCGTTCCACATTGGCGATTTGGTGTTTGCCAAAATACGGGGTTACACGCCATGGCCGGCAAGGATTACGCATAGTCTAATGCAAAAAAGCAGTACACTGTGTTCTTTTATGGCACGGGTGAGATCGGCTATATAAAGCCGGAGAACCTCTGGCCGTACAGCCAGCACAGGCAAAAGTACGCCACGCGAAAGAACATGAAGCGAGGTGAATACTCGAGGGCACTGCTTGAAATAAAGTGTGCCTTCAAGGGAGAGCCAATGCCGAAGCCAATCATTGTACCGAGCACCAATAATTATGATAATGATTATGATTATGACAATCAAGCACCAGAGATATCGACAAAGGTCACAATCCCCAAGCCTTCGCGCCCACCAAAGGTAAGTTACACTCCAACTGAAAGCATCTGTCATCAGTCATCAATCGAAATATTTGGCTTACCACACACAGAATACAGAAAATGAGGTTGTGCTGGTGTATATGCCAACAGCCAAAGTCCTGGGCATCAACATCGACTACAAGAAACCAAAGAGATTTGAAAATGCCGCCGCAAAGCAGCTCTGGCTGGATAACGCACGCAAAGAGGCCAATCTGCTGAAGGAGAAGCTGCTGTCGGGCCAAGTCGATGCCAGAAGGCTTCCAGCTGGCCAGATCATTGTTGATCCCTCGCCCAGAGCCACAGCCACAGCCCAGCAGCAGGAAGTTGATTTAATGAGAGAGCTGCACGAACGCGAGGACAAACTATTTACGGAGCGAGACTTCATTGAGATTTGCGGACAGATCCGCGAGTGCCTGGGCACGCGGCAAGCCAATGTGGGCAAGTGTCTGAAGCTGCTGGATCTGTTCAAGGAAATAGAGCTGGACAAGCTGATGCTGCTGCGCAATCCCGAGTCCGTGGACACAATTCGTGGACTCACAAAATATGTTGGAAATTTGAAAGTTTGGCAGATGGCGCCCAGCGACGAGGCCGAGTTCAATTCATTGGCCCTAGTCGTACGGCAAAAGTCCAAGACCATATACGAAGGCTTCCAAAAGCTGTTCAACTTCGCTGTGGGGGCAGACTTCTATCTGGAGTTCTGGAGGGAGGTCACGACCTACAGGACCCACACAGACCACCTAAATGCAAATTTGCGCGTTTTAATGAACGAGCGCTCGTACAGAAAGCTCGTTCGTGACAAACAAGGACAACCATCAGTTAAAACTGAATCCATCAATAAAAAGCACAAATACCAACAAGATAATATAGAATATTAAGTAAAACTAATTTAATTTTAAGTACAAAGCATTTGTAATCCCGCACTACAGCTCGGCAGCACAACTGCTGTTCTATTGCTAAGTTTGCTAGAATTAAGACAACATTGACAGGTATATCTAGCTCCTAAGTTGACTTCGTTTGAACTATTATCATTATCTTCACGCAATTACAGTTGCAACTGTCCCTAATTTAATATACCGGCATTTATTAACTAGGGCTTTTTGTTTTTGAATGAATTTTGTTATCATTTATTTTAATCTGCTACAAAATAAATACATTGCTCGATGAACTTTGCTTATAAAGTAAAAACATTCTAGTAGTCCATTGGATCCACATCCTACAGCCTAATTCACATTTGTGACATTCTGAATGTGTTCTTACAACAAATATATTTAGCTAGCTTAAATAATTTACAACGCAATGGATTGCTTCCAAGTGCCGAAGGTGGTCAACCGACTCGGAGCAGCTGTTCCAGGACTCCATCGGCTTGTCAACTATCAAGCTGGAAGTGAGCTACAGCATGAAGAATGTTCGTCCGTTCCATGACCTGGACACCTTGATTGAGTCGTCGGTGGAGAACCTCCTCCCTAATCGGCGTTCTGAAGGAGACAGCGATCAGTGGCAGCGCTGAGAAGGAGTACGAGCTTCAGTTCAAGCCTGCAAACGTGTCTCAATATCAGTTCTAACTACGGCGTTTCCTGGATCCCCAGAGTCCGCTCGAATCCAAGTTTAAGAAGTTCGCGGTAGATCGCTCCGATAGTTAGATTTGTTGCAAGGACCGGAGGTACCAATTGATGTTCCGGATGAGACTTTGCAGGATCCAATCATTAATACAAAATTAACAACAACAAAAGTACATAGTTAATGTGCCCAACGAAGGTCTTGATCAAATTATTATGCATTTACATACATGTTGAAGCATTAAAGCATGGCCAACGCCAACAGCAACATTGCGATGACAATTTTTGCAGCTAGAAATAGCGGGCAGGGATCCTTGGAAGTGCCCTGGCAGCAGGTGCTTAACCCGCCTACGAGCTCCCTTTTTCTAGGTTTATTTGATGTCCGGTATTGTCTGTCTGTCTGTTGCGATTATTTCGCCAAAATATTGACGCTCGAAAACTATTTTTAAGCTTGCGTTTGCCAGACGCCCCAACCAAATGCATTTTTGCGGTTTCAAAAGTGCCAAATAAAAAAAAATACAAAGACGCAGCAGAACAACAGAAATGATGGCTTGGCTTGGGCGCTCTTAACCCTTTTGGCTTAGCACATAGACAGGCAGAAAGACGGGCTGGCAGACAGACAGACAGGCAGGCTGGCAGACAGACAGGACAGGACAGGACAGGACAGTAGTCGACATCGGTGGTGGCGCCACAAAACTGTTGCATTTCTTGTCAGCTTCTGCTTCTTCTGCTGTTACGCTGCCACTTGCCCTGCTCTGCTCTGCTCTCATCCTCCATGTGTGTGTGTGTGTGTTGCTTTTTCCGGTCTTTGACATTTACAGCAGTTTGCCCTGACAGGACACCCACCCACAAGCCCGCCAAGAAGGAAGGGCACTACTCTGGATGGTGGGTGGATGGGTGGTTGTGGCTGTGGCTGTGGCTGTGTCAGGACTGACAGTTAGTCATAGCATGCTGACGGAAGGGTGTATGTGTATGAGAGGGACCCACATGCATGTGGATAACGGGCGGGCACCCCACAACAGCGGTACAGAGGGGACAGACAGCTACCATAATGGCGTCATAAAGATGATATCATAATTTCCTACTTTGCTTTGCTTTTTGTTGCCTTTGTTGTTGCCATTATTTTGGATTTACCTTTTGCGCCATTTCACCTTTCCATTCCCCGTTGCACCCTTCTCCCTCTCCCTCACTCTCTCTATCCTTTGGGGATCTCTCTTTGTTTATTCGCCACTTGTTTCTTCATCGCTTCGGTTGTATTTATTTGCTTGTCTTCCCATTTAGTTGGGGGGGTATTTTCTGATCACCACCCCTCCACTGCCACAATGCGTCAATATTTGTCAACCCTAGCCAAAGTACGGTGGCCCACAAAACGCACACTCCAGTGGGTTCGCTTAATGTCCAGGAAATTCAGCACGGCAGCAGCACTTTAAATCAAACGGAAAAACTCCCAGTGTAGTCGCAGCCTGTAATCCCCTGGAAGATCTATTTCTATTGCCACAGATCATTCTTTGTGTTAACAAAAAGATTCGCATATTGGCTTGAAGCTGAAAATTTGTGCAGCACATTGTCCAGATATCCCACGAAGACACACCTCTAACAATAAAAATAGAAACAAATTAAAAATATATATAAATAAACTCTAAAAACAAGCAGCATGCAAAATCAAAATACACCCCGTGTTAGGGTATGCAACAAAAAAAAAAAATAAGAAAAAGAAAAATACATTCCCTTCGTTGGTTTGAAATTATGAATAAATTTAATTTTCCATAGCAGGGTAAAATAAAAAAAAAGAATTAGAAAAGAAATATTTTGTATAACTAAACGGAGCATGGCAACGCCCGGTTTCCAGTTGCCAGTTCCCCCCTCCAATCCATCAACAATGACGACAAGGGTTTGGGTTTGGATTCGTTCCATTGAGGACCTGCGTCCCCAACTAAAGACTGAGAAAGAAAGCGAGAGTGGGGGCACAAAACTACACTAAGAATCTATTTTTAGTTTTCAGCATTCAATGCTTCAAAGGGCGGTACAGAAGTGGGAAGTGGGTGGGAAGGGGAGTTGCTTTAAGTGAAGGCGATAAAAAATATTGTGGAATCTGGAATTATGCTAAGAATCCTGGAACCGGATGGCATGCTTTAATGACGAGGAATCCAAGTAAAAAAAAAAACAACACAGAAACCAAAAAAAAGAATAAAATCCCAAGCTTATAGTATGATAGACAGTGAATTTAAATAGTTGAAATAATGGAAAGACTATTCCTTATTGCAGGCGGTAAGTACTTAAGTCCGGGAGTAAGTCGAACCGATTGAATCTCGTTTACGAGTGTTGGCACTCACTCAGTCATTTATTCGGCCTTCTCATATTTCGTGTTAACATTAAACGCACCCTAAAAAAACACCAATCCGACGAACCGCAAAATGTCCTGTGCCGCCACTTGGCTTAAAATTAATAAAAATTTTATTTGCCTTTCATTTTCATTTACTTGCATTTTATTATTTTATTTTGATCATTTGGTTCGCTGGCATGAAGTGTGCGCCGCTCGGGGATTGGGGATTGGGGAATGAGCAGTGAGGCCAAATTGACATGAAATCAAATAAAGAAATTTTTATGAAGCTATTAAAACGAAGAAGAAGAATCAGAATGAGAATCAGAATCAGAATCACAGAAACGGAATACAAGGCGAATAAATAAATAAGAAACTGCAAGGACGAGAGACGCGGCGGCTGAATGAAAAGCGAATGGAAAAACATATTTATGCATGGCCTGGACAAGTCGCTGAGATGGAAATGAATCACCGCCGTGGAGCAGGAGAGTGGCAAAACGTGAGGGGGGGCAACGCGAAATGGAAAACGAAAAACGAAGAACGAAGAACGGAACTGGAAATCAAATCAAAGAAAATTAAAAAACCATAAAAAACTCATTTAAGCCAAAAACAAAAATGGAATTTTCTTGCCGAATTTCTAGGGGGTACAACCAAAGTCTTAGATACTCTTACAGATATGATTACAGGCATAATTATGGCAACATCAAATCTTTTGATCATCTTTCCTGCTGTGCGCTGCAAATGTTTGTCCATAGGCGTCATACCCTCTGCAAAAAGTCAAGCAGCATGCAAAGGACAACAATAAATGGCTAAGCAGCAGCAGGCGGAGAAAAACATGCAACGGAAATGTGGCAAATGGTAAGTGGGGCCGGGCAGGAATCCATCGAATCCGAGTCATTCGGGCGCGGCAAATGTTTAAATTAAACTGTTAAAAATTGTTGAAGAAAAACAACACGAAGCAAAAACATCTTTTGGGTGAAATCTTTCCAGAATAAATAAGGAAAGGAAGCGAAGAGAAGCAAGCGAAGTGTTCAAATGGAAAGGCGATGAATACTAATCAATGGTTGAGTTTTTTGAGTTACATAAACTGTGCCTCAAAATGCACTTTAAAAGATCAAAATGTTGGAAGGGCTAACAATTCTTTGGAGCTCATGTTTTGATCACACAGGATCGGCACTAGATATATATATCTTTAAAATTAAACAAGTTTAAATGCAACAGTTTTTTTTTTACCCTCACCCAAGTGGCACACAAATATTGCACTTACAGATTACAGCTGGATTATCCAGTGTCCCATTGGTGACAGCTTTGCCGGTGAAGTTGCACAGTAAATATTTCCTCAGCACATGAAAACAATAGCAGAGACTTTAGTAAAGTAATTAAAATTCAAATGACAAACACTAAGGAATAATTGGTAGATTAAGCTACTTCTGCCTCCTGTATGTTTCTTCCTTTGCCACACGAGGTGTTGCACAAACAGCAGCTGTAAGGAGTTCTCGATGCTACCTTCCAGTGGCTTCTGGCCACAAAAGTGGCTCTGCGGCATCTGTGGAATAATTACAAATATAAAATAATTGATCAGAATATTAATGGTGTCGCCTGTGGCGTAGATTCACGACAAAACTTACCATTGCAAGCCTGTATGTACACACTTTATGGGATAAAAAATGCTGGATCCTCCGCTTTTTCGACATCGGAAAACAATTCTACACTCTTCTCTATACCCCTGAACACCCTTCAATTATAAATATTAATCCATTCAATCAAGTTACATGTTAATTCATTTATTTTTGGTTGTAGAAAATGATAAAAACATGCGACAAAAATTGAATAAAATTGTGTCTAGAATAATTTGAATTGAAGTCTAATTTAAGAGTGCAATCCAGCAGAGATCTGAAAAGTGTATATTTTAGATTGAATATTAAATGAATTGCAGCAAAACAGATACCTTGCGACTGCAGAACGCAGATCACAACTGGAAGTGGGCTTCATGCTTTACGCGCAGGGGCAGGCACCGTCGCCATCTTCATCATCAGTCTCGTTTCCCTTCTCATACTCTTTCGACAAATTTGCAATATCTTTACGCAAAGACCGAATCAGAGCTATAATACTTGTTAGCCGACGGATTATACGTTTATAGCGCTTGTTGATTTTCTTATAAAGCCTCAGCTCCTCGATGATTTCGTCATCTTCAAAACCACTTTCGTCCGACATGACCAAAAACGTGCTTTCAACTTTTATGCGAAGTGCTTAATGCCGGAAATCCCAGACAGGGTTGATACCTT